AAAATGAAGAGAGGGAGCGGGTCTTCTTGGTGTTATTCTGAGACCTTAGTGCCGCTGTAGAGGATTACCAACCTAATATTATATAAACACCACCGGAACCATGGTTCATCCACTGCAGCCCCGAAATGACACCAAAAAAACCATGGTACTCACTGCGGGCGGACAGGAAAAGGAGAAGCGGGGTTTTCAGACCTCCTGTGTTTAGGGTGAAAACCACCGGCTGGACGTCTGTTTTCCTCCGTGTCGACGCTGCTGAGGAAGAAAGGCGAACACGGAGAGCAGGCTGAGCTGTAGCAAGCACTGCGGTGTTCACAGCCTGCTGCTGCTGCTGACGGCCCGCTTCTTCTGCTGCAGGGGGAGGGAGTAGGACCATACCGCCCCCTGCTGGCGGGGAGACCAAACCGCTTCAAGGCTGTGGTACTGGCTGCTGTTCGGCCGCTTTATTAGTGTTAGTGCTTTTAACCAAACCTTGGGGTTAGATTTTGAAATAGTTTGCAGCGGCGTAGCCAGAAAATCCTAACAGGGGTGGCCAGTCAAAAACCAAAGTACATTGAGGGGTGGCCGAAAGGCACCAGAACCTCAGGGTCAATCTACATTGTTCCACCAGGAACAACCACAACATCCATATTTTCTAAATAAAGACAAACTATACTTTTCTACAGCCTTTGCTAACAAATAGACCCATATATTTAAGCATAATCGCTGTGTAAATAAAAGGCATAGAGGACAAAATTCCGAATTTCGAACATAGTTCAATTGTCATTACCCACTTTTATCAATAATCATTCTGCAAAAAAATATATATTTAAATCTACTAATATCCACATTTGATGAATTTTTATGTTATTATTAAAGTAATTATCTATGATTTAGACTCCTAAATGACTTGCAGATTCACATAAATTTTTCTTTACCCCATATATTTCAAAATTTACTTCTGAAAAGAGCATGAATTCTGTATCTATCATCTTTAATGTTTGCATATTGATGTGCATAATTAACCAGTGTTTCTGTTGTCAAGTAGTTGTTAATATATGAAAAATGTGAATATTAGATAAGTTTGAGCATTCCCCTTCAGAGTATTACTGCTGCCACCCTCTGTATTAGAGAGAAAAATGGTAGGGGTGGCTACAGGGGTGGCCAATGATTGGCTAAGGGTTGCCATGGCCACCCCTGGCCGCCCATCTAGCTCCGCCCCTGATAGTTTGGACAGGAAATCCTGTCAGGGTGAGATGAGGACGGGTGCAGCTATAGGTTGGAGGTTTTCAGAGGATTTAACTGAAACAAAGCGGCAAAATGTGGAATGTTTTTATAAAACAGTAAATGTTACTGAGAAACAATAAGTAGTTATGTGGAACATTTTTCTCACAATATACATTATTTTCTAAATTCTGGTGATTTTTAAAGAATTGAAGTAAAGCAGAATGGGCCCCACTAAAATAATTGCATCTTAAATATACTTTAAACTAAGAATTTCACAACTTTGCTCATTAATTATTCTCTGCAGTTCAAGTAAATTAAACAATGGGGAACTAATAAGTGGCACTGATACAGGAACCATTGCAATCGAAACCTATGCAAACTTCACTGTGTATGAATATTTGGTAATAGGCTAAGGATTAAAAAGCTTCATTCATTATTTATGTTATTACTTTTTCTTACAATCGACAAAACTGCTAAACAATTTAGACCTTCTAGGAGGCTGTAGATTTTATATGACAGGAGACGGCACTTCTCTGGATGTTTCAGGTTGGAAGATGTGATGGAAATCAAGTTTTTAAACTTATTCAATAAACCAAAATAAAGATAAATGAATAAGATAAGTAATAATAAAAGAAGAACATCCAAGTGGTTCTTCCTCTATCCTGGATAACTGAGTTGTTCTACACATCCTCTCTGTATGTGGTACTCCTTTCTTGGGTGGCTGATCTTTTGAAAAATAAAATGCAATGGTTCTTTTTCTTTTTGTTTACCTCCTATGGGAGCAGACCTAAAGGTTTAAGAATTAAAATATTTATGTTGGTCTAATTACTGCTAAATTCCAACAGGAGATTATTAAACTAGACTGAGTTGAGTTTTAATGTCTGTCATTTTTTAGTGTGAGGAATTGGGAATATGGAGTGAGAGTGTGTGAAGACACGAAGATGGGTGAGTCTCACTCCCGATAGGTGAGAGTTGACAGCCCTGAAGTCGTGAAGTGTTATTTAAAGAGTTTGTCCTGAGTCATCTCTTTTCAGGAAAAGAACCAGAGCGATAGAGCATCAAGGATCATACACAGAGCCTATCTTTAACATTAGGTACATCTGTTGGAATTATTGTTGATGGAAATTGGGAATCCACATTGAAACCTAAAGATTATATTCAATTCAGTTTATTTATGTTGCACCAATTCACCACATATATCATCTCAATTTTACAGAGACAATTTCAACCATATCATACAGTCAGATTGGTTCAAAGTTCTCTATCTAAGGAAAACAAGATGATTGCATCGAATCATTGACTCTTCACGAATCCATCCCACCGTGCATGTAGAGTATACAGGGAGGCAAATAAGTATTTATATTCCCTGCTACTTTGCAAGTTCTCCCAGTTAGTTAGAAAACATGGAGGGGTCTCAAATGGTCATTGTGGGTGCATTTCTACTGTGAGAGACATCATCTAAAAAAACAAATCCAGAAATCACAATATATGATTTTTTAAAAACTTTTTGTATGATACAGCTGTAGATAAGATAGACAAATTTCCCTACAGGGAGAATAATAAACAGATATACTATTTTTTGTTATTCTATATATTTTCTGTTTTTATTTAAAGATAACTTTTAAGGAATACTTATTGCCTGACTTAAGACAACAATTAGAGACCATAAAAAGCAAGAAGATAACAAACATAAAACAAGCAAACCAAAAAGAAAGAGTAATGAGCTGAAGATAAGATGTGATGTTATTTTGATAGACTCGGGAAGAAAAGCTGTTTTAATGATAAGGAGACACTAAATGTTCATCAAATCCAGACCTAAACCCAAATAATAATCAAAAAAATTAAACCAATAAAAAGTGACAAATAATTAGATTCATTTAGAAAAATGTAATTGTATAAACAACCTTTAAAAAAGATTGAAACAAATTAAGTCTACATTTAATGCAAACAGCAGTTACAAAAGGCAACAAACAACAAAAAAAAATTGAGTTTAATAAAAGAATAAAGCCAAACTACAAATGTGACACAAACATGGGAAAACATAACAATTCTCCCTTTGTATAATTATTATCATAGAATAACTGTATAAATTGTGTTACTTTACATATAATAACAGTTATGAAAGACAACGAAACAACTTTTTATATTTATAGGTAGAAAACAAAACATAGTAGGGGCACATGCAGAAGTATAAACTTACCCGAGTTATTTTATCAAAACAAAACATGTAGTGATAGGAAATCTTATTTTTAATATAAGACAGCAGTATGTTCATTATATATTCTAAAATTGGATAAATTAGATTTTCGGGGGGCATTTTGGTCAACATGAAGCCATACATTGGTGGATTCATAATAGAAGTTAGGATAAGAAATTCTATAGAAACGCATTTTTAAAGAGTTTGAGGACATTTTTTTGGAGCCAAATCAAATTAACATCACACCAAAAAGGAAAGTGAATGGAAAATTGAACAGTGCACCTCCTTATCCTTCTACAAAACGGACACATCTTTTAATAGCAAGCAGCTAGGATCACACGATTAAAACATTGTTTAGAGAACAAATTAGTATGGAAATATATGCATCCATGCCTTTCACAGCAGTTTCAGATGGAAAACATGCAAACATAACAATGCTCGAGTTCAAACAGACGAGTCTGTTAATGTATGGACTGCATAACTTCAATTTATATTCAAGAATACTGTTTATAGCTGCAATGCAGAACGGTATAATCCAAGCAGGACAAACTGAAGTAATGCCTCTCTGTTTCTACATGATAGAGTAGTTGATTTGGTTGACATATGGCCAGATATCGGTCATATACCATGAGAGTAAGGATGGACAGATCACTGCAGACAAAGGAGTACAATATCTGAACCTGGAGAGGCAGCCTTTATAAGAGAGGACTTGGCCAGAGCACATCCACAAAAAGTTGGAATAGGAACCTGACATTCCCTAAAAAGCATTAATGCAAAAAGCAAATAGTAAAATATACATCAGTTCAATGGATTCCTTATGCAATATTATTGTCAAAAAGAAACAGACCGCTGTAGCATTTTTTGTATTTGTTAACCAATGCTGTCTGCTCTTCTACCATCTCTCTTAGACTGTTTGATTTTGCTTCTGTTGGATTTAGCTAAATCTAATGAGATTCATACCCAGCCAGTAACCTTCTTCTAGGTATTGTAGTGCATTGACAAGGCTTACAGAGAGAGGTTTGATTTCAAAGAGGACCCAGAGGTTGATAACAAATGCAGGAGGATGGCAAGAGAAGGATAAGGGATATAACAGCCTAAGTTTTTTTCTTTTTCTGACTGATGTGCACAAGTGGATATTTCCTATCCGTTTAAAACATTTTTAGACATTCAAGTTGTACAAATAATCAATAAAACAAGAATTTAAGTCTTTTAAAATGCTCTGTTAAAAGTAGAAACAGAACCAAACAAATTTTTGGTGAGGATCAAATTAGCACATCCACACAAATATGTATCTGGATCAGAGCAAAATAAACCAACTTCGTTTTTTTGATATTATCATTGAACAAGAGAGAAAGTGGCTTCTTGCAGTGGACAACTTACATTATATCAACCAAAAAAAAGAACAAGAAAGAAAAAAAAATATATATATATATATATATATATATATATATATAAGAACAAAAAAATTAAATTGTGCTCTAGAGACTGATCAGTATAATTCTTAAAACAACATTCCTTCAAATGTCTGTAATTTTAAATTGATTTAAAAGTTTCAAAAAGTACTGAGATATCAGTTTAGGACCAATTGAGGCCTCTTGCAATTTCTGATATAAAAATTGGAGGTGTGTGAAGAGCAAACTTTACTCTAGAAATATGAAGGGCAGACTAAATGGGTGTTTTGCTCGAGATTTTGGTTTAATTAAGAAGTGTGAGTGACTTCAAAAGGTCTGTACATGCAAGTGACCCCTCAAACACAGCTGAATGTCAGATGGAATGAGGACGCCAAGCTCCATTCTAGAAGAACTGCTCTCCGCCCCAAACTTTATATTTGGGACTATGATGAATTTAAATATGTTTAAATATGGTCTGCATAGCTTCAACCTGTAAGAATAGTTGTTACGGTTTTTATCCAGAAAGATGATAACCCAAACTAAATGGTGACTCATTGCTTCGTCATGACAGAGTGGCATTCCAGAGGTTGACATACTGTATAGCCACATACTGGTCATATGCCATGAGAGCAAGGATGGATAGATCACTGCAGGCAAAGGAGTGCAATAAGTGAGCCTAAAGCCTGAATGAGAGATGACATGAGCAGGAGAGAGCAGATCCCACAGGAATTTGGAATAGCAACCTGCTGTTCCATGTAGGGAATTCATGCGACAAGCACACAGCTGAATATACATTGGTTCATTGAGTCAATTTACCAAGATTACTGTCAAAACAGGACAAACATTCACAAAGAAAATAACATGAATGGGAGGAAAAACAAATGAGACCTAAAATCTTTTGTTTCAATTTAACCTGGAAAAAATAACAACATGAACATTGGTTAAATTATGCCTCAGCTCTAAACCAACTCTCTTAAAGTGACTGACATTGCTTCTCTGCTAAATTTTGGAAATCCTACAGTAGCCGTGGGATTTCTAGCTAGCCACTAACCTTTATATCAAGCAGTGCAGCTTTTGCCTTTGTGGAAGGTTGCTGCTTTAGGGAGGGAACGTTGATTCCAGAGCACCAGATAGGCAGGAAGGATCTAACAGGGGAAACCACAGGCTGATGGCAAATACATCAGTGCAGAAGGATGGACCAGAGCAATTACTGTACACAACAAACTTCTAAACCAACCATCCGCCCAAACTGTCATGATCTTGGTGCTGATGACTGGCTTATTTATTTATTTCATTTCATTCCTCTTCCTGCCCAGTTTCTCATTACAACTCATCATGTCCATTTGTGCCATTATCTATTTAAATGACTTGCTCCCAATCGTCAGTGCCAGATTATTCTTGAGCCAATCGTGAGAGTTTTTCTAGAATTACTAATAGTGTTCTGATGATCTGATCCTGACCCATTTTCTGGATTCGGACCTTTGAGTCTGCCTGCCCCTGTCTGATCTGTTTGCCTGACCTGTCTTCAGATTCTGTTGGATTCTATTGTGGACTGAACCTGGATCAGCCTCTTGACTATGCCCCCTGGATTATCCGACATTCCTTCATTTGCTTGGATCTGATCTCCTGTCAGTTCTGTGTCCTTAAAGCCTTCAGCAGCTGGAACTCTCTGTGGCAAGAGCAGTCTTGTCTTGTTAGCTTACCGGCTGGTACCCTCCTCGTTCTCTGGGCACGGACTGAACTCTAAACCAGGATGGTGACTCATGCATTCAGATCATTCCTCCATCAGGTTTTTCGTGGTCATTAACCTGTGTTTCCTCTCTGCAGAGTGACCTACCTTAGATGCCCTAGCCCCTGTAGCTCCGATCCGTTATTGTTTCAATAAACACTTTTGAAGTTATCCACCTGTCTGTCTGGCCTGAATACTGGGTCCCTCTGTTCTGAGTCATTACACAAACAACGTCCTCGAAATAAATAAATATTTCACCAAACAACACACCAATTTATAATACAAACAGTACCTTGACCTAAACATACCAAAACAATGTAATAAAAAAACACCTCAAAGCAGCATAAAAACTGTGGAGTAAAAATAACAGCGGTTACAAATAAGTTAATTCTATAGAATAAAATCTAGCATGCATCATTTTTTATAGCCTGTTGGAATTATCAAATTAATGCTACAAAAACAGATACTGATAAAGGGGCATAAACTCCCTCAACCACTAATATAGAAGAATACATACAAGTTATAAGTTTAGAAGTCAGCATGAATGAATGAAATGAAAATTAGCAAGGTGATAAAGCCAAACTATTCTGACATCTAAGTCAAAAGTTATTTATTCTACTGGGATATTTAGAGATTATTTTCAACCAAAACATATATTTTTATAGCATAGGAAATAGGAATCCATAAAAAGAATAAATAACTGTAAGAGAAATACCAGTTAAAAAAAATAGTGATTTGTTATTATTTACATCCATCCAGTAATGCAGTGCCTCATTCAAACCATTGGAAAGCCATTCATTATGTAGGTTCTGAACCCATCTTTATGGGACAGGGTTAGCGGAATTGGATTGTGATAAGGAACAAAGACTGCATTTTCAGCCATAATCTGAAAGGGAAATGTTGTTGTGATCACTTGAACATTTTCTTAAGTGCTATCTTAGATATGTCAATTGATCCCTGTGGTTCTTTGTTGCTATATGATCAGCTATCTTTCCCCCTTCTCTTAGCTGATTTTGTATATTTTCCCTTCAGTACTTGAGCCTCTGCTCTTCAGACTATATCTGAATGCATAGTCTGCTACTACTGTATGCATTCAGATTACTACACTGGCCTGTTCCTCCCTCACTTTACATGTAAATATCCTTCCCAGGCTTTTCAGCCATTGCCACATCCTCTTTAACATGTCATCAAGTTTATCTCTTATCTATGTCTAGTCCAAATAATTTCTGACCCTAACTATGCACACTTCTGCATATGTCACCTCAATCCCTTTGCAAGTTAGATTTAATTGATGTATATTGCCAGCTCAGTCCAAACATACAGACATCAATAATGCACATTTCAATTCAATTGAAGTTATAAAACAGCACGGTTGAGGTTATTTTTCAAATTAGCTACCATTTTCAGTGTTGTGAAAAAAATCTGCTGTCCTGAATAAGCATGTAAGGACCGTGGGCTGTTGATTGCAGTGTGCCATTAACTTTGCAGCAATCCCTCATAATATGCATGGCTGTAGCAACAGAGGACAACTTTGTCCTAATAGAAACCAATCTCAATCTGAACCTGGTCCAATGGATGGAGACATACCCTGTGACCAACTGGGCTTTAAGGAGACAAACAGAAGCTAAAAAACACAAAAGGACGTGTTGTATGTTAAAGAACAAGCAGAGACAAGAGTGTTAAAGGCAGCAATAGTCCTTTCAAGGCCATTTCTCTTCTAACTGCCTCACCTGCCTGCAGGTAGCATTTAAGCAGTTAGTTTTTCATGCATCCTTTGCTCGATTTCTGTTTCTTTCATCCAAGTTATCTTAAGTTTTTTTTGTTAAAGAGCTTCAGTTTGCCTCAGAGACTTTTGCATTTAGTTACCCCTAGTGGTGGGAAGTAAATCAAATTTACTTTATTACTGTACTTAAGTACTTTTTGAGTATCTTTACTTGAGTAATTTTTGGTATGGGTACTTTTATTCCACTATTTTTCAAAGTCAATATTGTTCTTACCCCACTACATTTCAGGGAGCTGCCAGATACTTGTTCACATTGGCTCAGGTTAATCCACTGGTGCAGTTTTTCTTTCTTGAAATGCAATTTCAACATGTAAGATAGAAGCCCTTAGGATTAAATTTGGACACAAATGTTCTAGAGACTTCCAATACATTCTACAATGTGAGAAACTCACAGGGCAGATTTTTGCAGTATACTGTATACATTTTATCATGGCGTGAGTTTTTCCCATGAACATCTCAAATTGTACTTGCAGTTTCTTTGTGGTAATAGATTTAATCTTAAACCTGTATTCCATTTTGAAAGTGTGAGGAGAATCAAGAGACTTCTGTTTTCTTTTTGCTTTGATTTTGAATAACAAATAAAGATCAAAATAGCTGTCCTTGGTTTTTGCTGTTTTTTATGCTGAAGTTCTGTACAAGTGGTGTTGAATTTATAGCAGGTGGTTCTACATGGTTTCTGAAAGTTACAAGGTTCTTTTAAAAAAACTACTCAGAAAATTAAACTGAAATGTACTGGTATTAGAAAATAGAATTTGTGCTTTCTAATAGATTATATATGTCCAGAGAGCTGTTCCAAAAGAAATTTCTTTTTGATTTATACTTGTGTAAACAAAATGCAAATAAATCTGTCTAAGTCTAAGTCTAATATTTAAGTAGTTTAAAATGCATTTACTTTTGACTAGCTAAATATTTGTCAGTTCTTCAATACTTTAACTCATGTAGATGTTTGACAGAGTAACTTTTGCTTTAAGTTGAGTAACATTTGACTATGAGTATCAATACTTTTACTCAAGTACTACTTTTGAGTACTTCGTCCACCGCTGGTTACCTCATCAGCATCATAACATCTTGTTTTTCATTATTTCCTCTTTAGTTTTTTCTTTGCTGTTCACTTAGCTGCTAAATGTCTAACATGATGTTTTACCATTGTGTTTAATACCACTGAGTTAACATGTTGATGTACATATAAGGACAGCTTAAGGAGTGCAGTTTAGGTCAAGTAGTAATGTTTTACTACTTTGCCTTTTCAATCTACAACTACTTTCAAGTCATACCCAGTGGGCACAGTTATCACAACATATAGTGTTGCCATATGATACACCGATAAACAATGTGGCCTTTGAGAGTCAGTCCCTGGCCCCCTCAACCCAGAAGACTAAACAGGGCCAGTCATAACAAGGCAGTGTAGGTTACAGTGAAAATTACTATTACGTTAATCAAGTTATGTACTGCCATGCTAAAAAGCAAGGCTACACCTTTTAAATCAACACATTTGAAATTATAGAGACACATTTTAGAAGTGCAACAAAATCTGCAGTAAAATAAGACTGGGTATTGGAAAGCACAGAATAAACAGTCAATCTTTTGTTTACAGGTATAAATAATTTATTGAAATAAAATTTGCTGCGGCTTTAAAGGCTTGTACAAAGCAATTGTTTTTTTGCAGCTATATGACCAAGATCATCATCCTTTATGTGTGAGTAGGTTTGATATTTGCCATCAATAATTAAAATTAATATTGAAAAAACCAACAGTGAAGAATAAGGGCAAGAATAGGGGCAATTGCTATTTTTATGGACCTTCTGCTTATTATTGCATCTGAAAAATCTGCTTAAATTCAAATATATTTCATAGTAAGAAAATCAATAATTCTTCTTCTAATTTTCGTCAACTTAAAGCCATAAATGAGCGGATTCATGAGGGGAGGAACAACAAGAAACTCCATTGCTATAAAATTCTGCAAAGCCTGCGGTAAATCTTTAAAACTAAGTCGATTATTAATGATATCAATCAGTATAGTCATAATACAGGCAGATAAGGAAATTAAATGAGGTAAACAGGTTTGCATGAATTTTGCCCTCTTTTCTATTGAATTGTAACATATTTTGATGATATACATGTAAGACCAAATAATGTAAAAGCCAAGAAATATAAAAATTATTATTGTAATGTTTCCAACAATGCCATTAATTGAGGTTTCTTTAGGAAAACATGCCAGTGACACGATGCTCCAGTTTACACAGAAAAGTCTGTTTATGTATGGACTGCATAGCTTCAGTCTAAATGTCAGAAGGCTGTTTACTCCAATAATAAAAAAGGATGTTAACCAAAGAGAGCATGTCATCCAAATCACTCTTTTCATTGACATGATAGAATGGTAATCCAGTGGATGACAAATAGCCAGATACCGATCATATGCCATGAAGGCAAGGATTGAGAAATCGCTGAAGGCAAAGGAGTAAAACACCTGAGTTTGAAAAAGGCACCCTGAATAAGAAATGATATGAACAGGAGAGAGCAGATCCCACAGGAATTTAGGATAGAAACCTGTTGTTCCATAGAGTGCATTGAAGCAAAAAGCACAGAGTAGAATATACATTGGTTCATGTAATGTTTTGTCCAAAATGATGATTAGAATGAGAGAAACATTTGCAAGGATGGTTATGCAGTAACACAGCAAACAGAAGAAGAAAAGAGCTGATCTGTGAGTCCGACTTGTTTCATTCAAACCTGAAAGAAAAAACACGAAAATTGTTGAAGCATTTTCCATTTTTCTTCTTTTTGTTTAAGAAATATCTGATATTTGACAGCTCTGTACTCTTCAAGTTACCAGTCTTGCCTCTCACTAGATGTGAAATAGCTAAAATCATCCACTATTTAAAGAGCTCAAATCAACCAACCAGTATTTTTTCAAGCCCTGCAAGCCGCTGTCGATTGGGTCAAAGTTTGCAGCTTCCTGAAAGTCAAAGTTTTATCAGGGGGGAGATGAGGCTTTTATTGCACACCTGAGTAATTGCTAAATTGCTACATGATAGCCCTGTGAGGGCATGAATCGTTTAAAGAGCATTTTCTAGTTAACATATTTAATCAGATATTTTCTCATAAAGGGATGGGATAACGATAGATTACTTCATTTATGAGCTGAAAACACAGGTAAAATTTTATCGCCGACAATAATTTTATTAATATTCTTTTAAAATGTAGAGTTTTAAGCTGATGCAAATTTAATAAAGGATAATATAAAAAAGCAAAAGTACAATAACTATCAGGGAAATGAAAGGATTGTTTTTGTGCAATCTTCACTAAGCATGTTCACATGCAGCATGGAAATCTTGTAACTTATGAAATCTAATAACCAATATATTAAACCATATGAGGTTTCATGTAGCATATATGAGTGAAACGACATTCCAAAACAGAACAGTTAAGGGCAACTCTATATAGGTTTTTAATTTTGCTTTAACTGTTTCCATCCCACTGAAGCATCAAAAAGACGTCCAATACCTCAACTTGGACGTTTGTGCATTTTTAAGTCAGATGCTCTGGACTTTGGATGCTCCAGATGATTGGAGATTCAGGTGTTCAGCTGTTGTGATCTTTTCCTTATAAGTGGCTTGGCTTTATTTGCTATGAGGCGTTAGAAAACAAGCAAGTCCTCCTGAAAACGTCATATGTGCAGTCAGTTCATCAGGGTTATGATCCTACTTAAATTTTCTGTTTTTGCTTGGAGTGGAAGATCCCCTACATACTGGTGGGTGACAGTGCTGGGATTTCTCAGTAAAAACTGAATCCGGTAAGATTTTTGGGGATTTCCTGCTGCTGTTCATGGCAGCTGGGAATTTAATCTAAACGTTTAGGTTTGTGGTGCAAATGTCATGATATAAAATCAGAAGACTTTAACATTTTTAGTCAATGTAGGTAAATGGTTTTGCCACATGTCATTATGAGTAATAATGATCAGAACACTCTTTTTTTCCTTGCACATAAAAAAAATCCCTGGCTTTTCAAAATCAGTGGAGTTCAACCCTTTGTGTTTATTATTTTTCATAGTTTTCTGCTTACAGCTCTGCAGAAGCAGAGATCACGGCTTGCATGCAGTGTCTGTCTCCCAGACAGTTCCTGGATCAGCTTCTCTTATTGGTTGACTGTCTGCTTTAAAGCAGAAAAAGTTCAGGCTGCCCTTACAGTGAACATTTTTTTCGAGCATCAATGGCATCTGGCTTGCATGCTGAGTCAACAGTAGGCATGCTTCAAAGGACTCCAAGATGTCTCGCGGCCTGTCATGCACATCTTGCACTGGGCATTTGAAGCTTGCTGCACATTTGGATTGACACATGAGTTTACAATACATGAGAAAGTAGGAAACACAGCTGCTTTCTACTTTTTGTCATCTAAAAGCTACGGTAATTTCTTCCCAAGAATTTTTCACAATCTGTTAATTGTAGTGATATTTATGTTAATATGTTAATAAGATATATAAATATTAATTTTCCTAAGTGCGCAGGGAGGAAAGTCTATTGCAATAGACCAATTTGGCAGCTGACTGATGCATCAAGCAAAAATCAAGCTAAAGGTTTTCCACACTTTTATAGTCTTCTGGGAGTTTATTCCAGATTAGTGGAGCATAATAACTATGTAAATTCTAAATCCCACTTTTGGTTGTAGTTATGCCTAATAGTCTTCACTCAGACAACCCTGAGAGGTCTGGGCTGTTGATAGACTGACAACAAATCTCTAATGTATTTTGATGGAGAGCCATTCAGTGACATATACTGTAGACAACCTAGATATTTTAAAGTGCCTTTTAGATACGGGGAGCCAGTGTTCGGCTTTATCAATGGGGTGATGTGCTCTAACTTCTTAGTTTTGCTGAGGACATGGACAGCAGCTTTCTGGATCAGTTGCAGATGTCTGATCAACTTTTTACCTGAGAAGACACTGCTCCTAAAGATAAAGAGATGGATAGGTTTATCAAGACATTAGTCACTTAATCCTGGGAATGTTATTTATGTGAATCAAGGCCAACTTTGTTACTTTCATTTTTGTTGCATGGGGAAACACAAAGAGAGAGAAAAATAGAGAAAACAAATATGTTAACCCTCAATATAAGCTAAAAAGTATTTTTTTGATTTGGCTTATTAGAAAGGAAAAAGAGCAATTCAATAAAACAATTGGCATTAAAATTCATGGCCTAAAAATTATATATTATAGACTATTTTTCATCTGTAGTTCCCAGATGTTAAATGAGCAATAAAATAACTAGTTTTTTTTTTCCTCTTAAGTTGTAATTTTCTATGTCATTTTTTTCCCTTTTATTTTTTTACAACAACCTTTATGACCCCAATTTTGCTCTATATTAATGATACAGTAGCAAAAAATTGCCCTTCCCAGTCAAACACCAGGCAAATGGCCCCCTCCTTCTCCTGGGCGTGCATATTTTTTTACTCTCACTCCATCCTTTCATTGAATTACAGGGTCCGACCACAGGAAGGGGCTTCTCTTTAGATCTTAATGTCCACAAATCATGTTGACATTTTCTATTAGTTGTGCATTGGACAGATGGTCTTTATGAAAAAGGGACAAGAATAATAATAAGTATTGTTTTCAGTTTGCCAGACACCATACTAGGAAGAAGGTGGAAGAAGGTCCTTTGGTCAGACCGGACCAAACTGAACTTTTTGGCCAAAATGCAAAACGTTATGTGTGGTGATGTAACACTGGAAAGAGTTGATGGGAAGATAGATGGAGTTAAATACCTGCCAATCTAGGAAAAGTACAGCAACCCTAAACATCAAGCCAGGGCTACAATGGGACATTTTAAAATGGAAAGAGTTCATGTGTTAGTATGGCCTAGTCAAAGACCAGACCTAAACCCAATCAGCAATCTGTGGCAAGAGCTAAAAATAGATGTTCACTGATGCTCTACATCTGCTGGAGCTGTTTTGCAATGAAGAAAGTTAAAACATTTCAGTCACTAGATCCATAAAGCAAGTAGAGACATACCAGAAAAGACTTGAGGCGGTAATTGCTGTAAAAGGTAATTTCACAAAGCATTGACTTAGAGGGGGCTGAATACTTTAATATTTTTCTGAAACATGTACAACTGTAAAACATATCATAGTAACTTTTATTCTCGTCACTGTGCTCCCAAAAGAAATTAAACAATCACAATATTCATATTTTAAAACAAAATCACTAAAATGGATTTGATTTTCTTAAAGACAATTATTTACAATCACAGGGCTGAGGGGTGAGTCCCACAGAGAAACACAATGTAGCCTACAGAAAATCGACAATAACACTCACTGTTATCTATGGACAGCTTCTCCATAGTCATCAACAGAACCCATTAAAAGACACAACATTTAGAAAGATCCTTAAATGGAGCCAGAACTATAGCACCCTCTGCTGGTTGTCTTGGATAAATACATCTCATATTTGCAATTTAAATTACATGGGTGTTGAAATCCTGGTCTGATGGGCATTGGATAATGGGTAAATGTAGAAGATAAAGAGACAAAAGATTCAAATGGAAAGAAGAAATATCTGCGAAAGATTTGGTACATTTGAAAGAAAGCAGAAGTTTTGAGTATAAGCATTACAGGTTTTGACTGGAAGCTGAACGAAATCCTGCTCTGTGTACTCTTAAAGTTTTATCCAAATCGGTTCTCATTTCTCTACGTCAACCAGAGTTATAATGTGAACAAAGTGGAGTTTTATTCTAAGTATCAAAATTTCATTTTATTGAGAAGTGAAAGCAAATCAAATATGTGGCAAGTCTTTTGTATTTAGTGGCTATCTATCAAAGGCCAGTTAATTTAATACATATTTATTTTTTCATCTGAACAGACTGACTTCAAGTTACATGAACTCTAAACTAAAGTAAAGTTAAAGTTTGAAAAGCTCTTCTGATTTTAAGTAACTTTTTTAAGTTTTTGGAAATATAAAAGGCTGTTAATGTTCTATATTTTTAGCTCATTTAACTTTAAATCCTTGCTTTTGCCTATTATAAATGTAAAGGTGCAGAAACTGTTATTTGCAGATCATTTTAAGTTGTTTTCTTTCTTTTCTTAAGGTTCCTATACATTTCAACTGTGTAACAGTTAAAATAATTTTTTTATATTATGTCACAGGAGTCACATTTCTCCCCATAGTAAATGATTCTTGACAGACTCTTCTCTGCCTTAATGTATTCAGTTAAACAGAACACCATAAGCTTGAAGTTTAATGGCTTCTATATCATAATATTAACTATATTGCAACTAAATGCATTTGAAGCCAAAAAAGGAAATTACTGATTGCAAACAAATGCAGAAAACACAGCATAACAATCAAAATATTGCTACAATTAACCATTTTGCATAAAAACTAGTCCGAACCATGAAAATAATACACATATTCTTAGAGAATCTAAACCCAGGTCATGAATATATGAAAATATTGCCAAATAATGCAACTGAAAGAGGTCTGCTTAGATTTTTTTATATCTAAAAGTAACAAAATACATAATTCTTCTTCTAACTTTAGTCAGCTTAAACCCATAAATGAGTGGATTCATAAGGGGAGGAATGACAAGAAATTCAATTGCTATAAAATTTTGCAAAGTCTGTGGTAAATCTTTGGAACTGAGTCGGCTGTTGATAAGATCAATCAATATAGTCAAAATAAAAGTGGAGAGTGACATTAGATGGGGCACACAAGTTTGCAAAAACTTTGTCCTGTTTTCTAGAGAATTAGCACATATTTTGATGATATACATGTAAGACCATACAATACAGAAACCAATGGTAGTGTAAATTATTATTGTCATGTTTGCAACAATGGCATTCATTAGTGTTTCATTAGGAAAACATGCCAGTGAAACAATGCTCCAGTTTACACAGAAAAGTCTTTTAATGTATGGACTGCATAGCCTCAGTCTAGATGTAATAAAAATGTTGACTGCAACAATGAAAAATGATGTTAACCAAAATGAACATGCCAGCATAATGACCCTTCTTACTGACAAAACAGAGTGGTATTCTAATGCACGACATATAGCCAAATACCGATCATATGCCATAAGGGCAAGGATGGACAGATCACTGCAGACAAAGGAATACAACACCTGAACCTGCAGAAGGCAGCCTGAATAAGAGATGACATGAATAGGAGAAAACAGATCCCATAGAAATTTAGGATAGAAACCTGCTGTTCCATAAAGTGCATTAATCCAAAAAGCACATAGTAGAATATACATTGGTTCATGTAGTGCTTTGTCCAAGACGATGATCAGAATAAGAGAAATATTTACCAAGATGGTTATGCAGTAACACAGCAAACTGAGGAAGAATAAAGCTGATCTCTGATTCCGACTGGTTTCATTCAAACCTGAAAGAAAAAACACTGAAATAGTTGAAGCATTCATTTTTCTTGATTAATTAATCTGTCTTTGCAATGTAACAGCTGTCTTGCTTCTTTCTACGGTGAGATAACAACAACAGCAGCTATTTAAAGCTTTCAAATGATGCATTCAGTCTTCTTTTAAACCCCTTGATAGACGGGAAGTTTGCAGATTAGAGTTTATTCCACAGGGGAAAATGAATAAATACTTCTTATAGCAAATCTATTCACTTGACATATGAGTATAAAATGAGAGTTTGAAGAAAGGTTTCAAAATGTTTTAAATAAAAAGCTGGAGTCAAGAAAGAGAGACCTTGTTTGAAAAAAACAGAAATCAGCAACAGTTTGTTTTCAATTTGAAGAATTAAAACAATGTTTATTTGCAAACAAAATTAACATAAAGTGTTAAATTTGGAGGTGACACATTTGATTAACTTCCACTGCATTTTGTCAGTTCATTCTGTGAAAATATTTTTTGAGTTTAATTTAAAGTTTGATTTAATTTCTCTGTTTACTTAGAAGCTTTCTGAACCTCTCTGTGGTTTCTTACATGTTTTGACCGTTTACTTCTTATGTCTTATCTGATACCACAGAAAGATAAGGAAAATATCTCTTATGGAAATGGACTTGTGCATGTGAAGGTTAATGCTGGGTATGAAATCACACCACCTCGGCTGTGATTTCCGCTGGCAGGTAGACTACTAGCTCCACCAATTAACCGAATAAAGATTATAATAAGAATAAAGGCATATTTTGCATACATACATAAAAAAAACTCTTCGTCACCCATCACGGGTGGTCTTCCCCCTTTTTCCTCCAAGCTCAGGTCCTCTACCAGAGGCCTGGGAACTTGATTCTTGCTGTTCCTAGAGCTGCACTCTTCTGGAGTGATATGTCTGATGTATTTCCAGGGATCTGCTGTAACCACTCCTCAAGTTTGGGGGTCACTGCCCCGAGTGCCCCATTGACCACGGGTACCACTGATGCCTTGACCTTCCAGGTTTTCTCCAGCTCTTCTCTTAGCCCCTGATATTTCTCTAGTTTTTCATGTTCTTTTTTCCTGATGTTGCAGTCACTTGGTATTGCTACATATGTCAACCACAACAGCTTTCCTCTGTTTTTTGTCCACCACCACAATGTCCGATTGATTTCCCATTACCATTCGGTCCTTCTGTATCTGAAAGTCCCACCGGATCTTGGCTTGGTCATTCTCTACCGTCTTTGGAGGTGTTTCCCACTTTTACCTTGGGGTTTCCAGTCCATACTCTGAACAGATGTTCCTGTATACTATTCCAGCGACTTGGTTATGGTTCTCCATGTAAGCTTTCCCTGCTATCATCTTACACCCTGCAGTTATGTGCTAGATGGCCTCAGGGGCCTCTTTGTACACTCTACACCTGGGGTCTTGTCTGGTGTGGTAGATCTGGGCCTCTATTGCTCTGGTGCTTAGGGCCTGCTTCTGTGCAGCCATGATGAGTGCCTCTATGCTGTCCTTCAGTCAGGCTTTGTCTAGCCATTGGTAGGATTTCCTGATATCTGCCACTTTAATTATGTTCCAGTGGACCATCCCGTGGTGGGGCTTATCCTCCCATGATGGAGTATCTGGCACCTCATCTTCTGTTCCCCATTGTCTGAGATATTCAGTGAGGAAGTCGTCTGTTGGAGCCTTGTCCTTGATTTACTTGTGAATTTTCCATGTTTCATCCTGGATTGTGGCTCTTACACTCATTAGTCCTCGGCCTCCTTCCTTACGGCTGCCGTACAATCTCAGGGTACTGGAT